GGCCACCGAACCGGCCACCGCACCGGCCACCGTACCGGCCACCGAACCGGCCACCGCACCGGCCACCGCACCGGCCACCGAACCGGCCACCGCACCGGCCACCGTACCGGCCACCGAACCGGCCACCGCACCGGCCACCGAACCGGCCACCGCACCGGCCACCGCACCGGCCACCGCACCGGCCACCGAACCGGCCACCGAACCGGCCACCGCTCCGGCCACCGCAGCCCGCGCGCGGCTCTACCGGCGGCGCTTCCCGTGTACCGGAGCAGCCCAGCGCTGCGCCAGCGCCTCCCGTCCCGCGGGGTCTGCGGCGAACGCGACGCGCTCCCTGCCCCGCCGGTGCGGCCCACCCGGTGTGACGGGCACGGAACATTGCGGGAGGGCTGGTGACCGCCGAAAACCGCTYCCCCATCCCGCGACCCATCGCGGGCTGCCTCCCGTCGAGAAACCGCGGCCGCCGCTCCCGGTTTGAGGTGCACGAGATTTGGCCGGGCCGCGTCCGCCCGCCCTGGGGCGCGGCTCTGGGGTGCGGGTCCCGGTGCGGGTCCCGGTGCGGACCCGGCCCGTCCCGGCGCTGCCGCCCCTCCGGCGCTGTCCGGCGAGCGGTGCTGAAAGCGGCGGCGGGCTCGGTGGGGCGGGGCGGGGCGGGGCAGCCGAGCAGGTGGCGGTGCCGCCCGTCCCCCCCCGTGCCCCGCCGGCTCCCCGCCCCCCGAGCGCCCCGCCGCCGTTCCCGTTCCCATTCCCGTTCCCATTCCTCTCACGTCCGCCGCCCGCCCCGGTGCGCTTGCTCCGCCACTCCGCCATGGCCAGCACCTTCGCCCGCGCTCTCTCCGCTCGCCGCTCCGCCGGCCTCCTGGCCATGGTGGGCGCTGGCTCTCTCGCCGCCGGCTTCCTACTCGCCCGGGACTCGGTCAGCGCGGGCGACCATCAGCGTCGGCGATACCCGCCCAGGTAAGGAGCGCGGGCGGCGGGGGCGGCGGGGGCGCTCCCTGCGGTACCGGCACCGGGGGAAGGCTGCAGCCCGGGCGGCGGATCCCGGAGCAGCTCGTGGGGGCGGGAAGCACCGGSAGGCCCGTGAACCAAGCCCGTTCCCCCGGGGCACGAAGGGAGCGGGGCGGCCGCTGGGGCTCAGCCGTGTTGGACGGAGCCGCCCCACCTCGGGCTGCCGGGCCCCACCGGCCCCACCGGTGTACAAGGACACCGACACTGCGCGCCCCGGGAGCGCGGGGCCCGACTCTCCGGGGCCCGTCCGTGGGGGCTGCACATTCCCGTGTCCGGGGGTGAGCTCCGCGGTACAGGCGAGGAGCCCCGGAGCTGCCAGCTGCCTTGGGTGGTCCCAGGGCRCCAGATGAGTCTCTGCAGCCAGGGACATGCGAGAGTGGGAGGGGACAAATGCTTGGCGTTTGGATTGGGGTTCCGCGGGACTTCCCTGGATGACCGGMGGGCAGAGATGGGGGGTTTTTGGGAGACGGGCCAGCCTAGGAGGCAGCAGTTCTGGGACTGCCAGCGCTASTGGGGATATACCCATGCTCAGCCCAACAGAAGCCACGGAGCCTTTGCCAATGTTCTGTAGGAACAGGATGGAGCAGAGTCCATTTTGTCCTCCTGGCGGAACACCCAGGATCTCTGACAGTGGGAGCTGGTGTTAGAGCAGCCCCTGGCCCGACCTCATCTGGCTGTACCAGCCTTCCCACGCGCCTGCCTTTGGGACAGGGACTCCTCTATTGAAAAGAAAAGCTTTGCTGGCATATTCTGGCTCTTCCCTCTCCGGGACCATTTTTAAAGGGAGAACTAGAGGGGCCTGTGGGTGCTGAGCAGGCAGCTTCAGCCTATGGGTAGATTTTGGATGACAGTGAGATGTGCAGTCAGGACTTCTGGGAGGCAGGCACAGAGTTGAGCTGGGCCAAATGGGCACAWACCCAGCCACGGCCTGGCTTAGGGGTACTTTTGAGGTAATGCTGGCTCTGCAAGAGCCCTGGCCCTATTTGCACAGCCGGTGCCTGATCCCTTAAGCCAGATAAGTGTCACAGCTGCAGTACAATGCTAAGATTCAAGCTCCAGAAGGTCTCACGTCACTCTCCTCCAAACTGCTCTTTGCTGTCCCAGGAAGCCCAGTTGGGCCAGGAAGGCCAGGTACCTCCCATGCCCATGATTTTGCTCACCATCACTTGCCATGGCAAGTGGGGCTGGGAAGATGGAGGCTGGTCCTGCGCAGTGCTTGTGCTGCCAGCCCTGAGGAGCATAGAGGGCCACGGCACCAGACAGGACTGGATGCAGCAGCTGCCTGTATCTCMCTGGGGGCTAGGCAGGGTAGGAACGGGGCCAGGGCCAGGAGGGCAGAGGGACATGGTGGCCACCAGCCAGTCCTTCTGCCATATGCTGGCAGCGGCTGCTTGGCCTAGCACATCCTAGAGGCAGGCCAGGTAAAGGAGGACTGAGTTTYCCTGCTCATCCCAACGCCAGCAAAGACTGCACAGAGAAGGAGCAGAGTTGGAAGGAAGAAGCACATTCCTGCTCCGAACGGCAGCGGCTGCTGCCATCCCTGCACCAAATGCCAACAGTCTGAGCAGTGTGTTGTGGCACTGCATTGCAGGCTGGGAGCTCTGTGCATGTGAAGGGCTGGCAGGGAAACGGCACTGGGGCTCTGGCAAGCTGCATTGAGCTACAGAAACTCAGGGACAGGAATGGAGTGAGTTCMCAGAATGACAAAGACCGGATATTATTGATCATTTACCTCCCAAGAGGGGAGTGTTTTCCAGCTTTCTGAACAATTGCAGAGACACACACATCAGGTCAGGAGGGGGTGAAATCAAGGTGAGGCTGTAGCTGAGAAGCTTTTAAGTTAGCTTCCTGGTGGGTTCTGTTCAGCTGGGAATGGTTTTGTGACAGTGCTGACRCTTGCAAAGAACCTGGACAGAGCCCTGGGCGTGAGCCGCAGCCCTCACTCTGCAGATGACTCACCCGAGAATTTTGTCCCTCTAGTCTTAAAGTTAAAAGAGACATTGGCAGCAGCTGTGAGGAGTCTGAGTGACACCAGAACCTCCTGCCAGAGGCACTCTAGTAAGGATGGCCATGCTGAGAGGGCACAGGCACTCACTCCCACCTCCAGGAGACATGGGCACTGTGTGCCAGGTGGATCCTATGACAGGCATGGCACCACATTGGGGCTCCCCACCAAAGTGTCTCCACACMAAGTCCAAGCCCCCTCCCCTCTGTGTAAGCAAGCCTCATGTTTGGCTGCCTGCAGCAACCTGCCAGCTCCCAGCTGCATGTCCCAGGCAGAGTGTGCCGCTCAGACCGGACACAGTGCGTGCCTGYCCAGAGCCATGTGCAGCTGGGGCTGCAGTGATGCCAGCGAGGATTCGAGGTGAGGCTGCCGGATTCGAGGTGAGGAGCTGTGGGGAGGTCACTTGTAGAGAAGCTGCCCAGTCAGTCGACAGGCTCRTAATCCCTAGTGGCTGCTGAGCAGGTCTGCTCCAGGGTGAGACASCTGCTCACACAAGGGCACAGAGGGCGGCTGCTGTGGGCAGTGCTGAGGTGAGTGCAGGACAGCGTGGGCAGCAGAGCCAGCTCGTGTTCCTGGCAGACATCCCCACTCAGAGCCTCTGCAGCCGCAAGTGCAAGACCACAGAACCATGGAATCATGGAGAGACCCTAAAGATATCACTCGGTACTGTGGCACAAGATAAAAATTTTGKTTGTGGGAACAAAATTTAGTGCTGAAAGGGTCATAATTTTAAAAYGAGCCTTGGGGACCAAAACCAAGGTGTCAAAGCAGCCCAAGTGCAGCATCACCTTGACACTATGACAGAACCCCCAGACAGCCCAAGCACACAGTGGGAGTGTGGTGCCACTGCCAGAGCCTTTTAGGGCCAGCTCAGGCACAGTCTCCCCCACTGGCTCTGTGGCACCACGGTGAGCACAGCACCAGAGGTTCAGGACCTTCACCCTGGCATTACCCAGCTAGTCCTGGCACATCCAGCTGAGTTCAGGTGCTCTAGAAAGGCTAAAGAGAGGTTGCTCCCATTTGTTGGCTGTGGTCTGGGGCTGTTGAGGGAAGGGTACACTCCAATCAGGTGCTCAGTCAGCACTGCACCAGGCACAGCACCTGCAGGCAGAGCCTGGAATCTCAGGGTTTGGCTGCTAAACACCCCAGGGATGGTGTAGAGAACTGTGGCAGACAGAGTGCTTCAAGCCATAACAGTCTGTTGCCTCCTGGGAGTAAGCTGGCTTTCCTTAGGGACTCCTGCTCCGGAGTAGCTTCTGTTGTGTAGAAGGCACAGCAGGTGCCTGGCATGCCCAGCAGCATGAGCCATACTGCCCCAGTGCAGGAACCTGTCCAAGTGTCCCATTGTGATCKGCAAATGCTTTCTACAATTGTGTCACCCTGGCGTGACAGTGGCCAGCAGATGACAGGGACAGAAGCAATGGGGGATGCCAGAGCAGGTTATGTCCCATGCACATTAGCCTCTTAGCTGGATCATGTCACCAGGCACGGGTCTGTGTGTGAGTTGGGAACAGCCCTCAGCCCTCCAGCCCTGGGACGAGTTCTTGTCTGGAGCAAATGCCTCCATCTGCAAGTCCAGGCAGGAGCTGCTAGTGCTTCCCCACACAGTGCAATGTGAGTCCTACCTCCCTTTCTTTTTGCACAGCGCAGCAAGGCACGAGCAGTAGCCAAGCTGTGGGCGAAGGGCCACATTCCTTGGCCTGCAGACACAGGGGAGGAGGCAGTGGCAGCCACAGGGCTCTGCATTGCAGCACAGGGTTGGTGCTGGCAAGCAGAGCCCATGGCCAGTGTGAGCACTCAGCCCAAGAGCGAGAGCTGAGCACAGCGCGGTGCCAGGACTTGCTGCTASTGCTCCCAACAACCACAACTGAGAGCCCAAGCACCTTTTCTGCCACATGGACCCCTTCAAGCTATGTCACCCCCAAAGCAGGCCTCTCTTAGAAGGGGAGACAGGAGTCCCTAGGGATGCAGGACCCTCTCCAACCRCCAGCCAGGTCTCCTGGGCTGACAAGGGCCAGTTCTCTCGCACTAAGGTGAGTGGAGGCATCAGGACCTGTGAGAGAGATTTGGCCAAGACAAGTCCTGGCAGGGTCCTGCCCTGCCAATCTCCCTGTGAGTGCAGAACAAGTACAAAGCCTGTCTAAAGTGGGAATGAGGTCAAGGGACAGCTTCCCACTAAGCTGATTAGAGGAAAGCGTCCCCCTAATACAATAAACTGCACTGGGGCTGTGCCGTTCCCACCGGCTGCAGATCGGGGTCACCTATTCTGCTGCCCTGCAGCATCCAGGGGGCAGAGGAGTGGGGGGTCCAGAGGTCATGCAAGCCTCATAGACAGCACGCCCTGCCTCCCCTACCCACCAGCAGACAGGGAGCAGCCCCCTTCCATTTGGACTGGCATCAGGGCAAGGAGAATGGGACCCCCACTCCRCATCTCAGCTGCCCTGGCAGCTCAGTGTGGGGATGGGCTGACATGGCCCCACTACTCGCCTGGCAGGTTCTCCCACCCTGGGGCCCTGCTGTGTGTTTGACAAGGAGCCGCTCCCTAATGACCAGTCCAGATTTGCTCATAGACTCTTGGTTCAGTGCCAGCCCTTGGCTTGGGTGCTCCCTGCCCTTGCCCTGCAGTGCCTGTAACTGCCTCCCTGCTCCCAGCTGCTGTGGACARGCAGAGTAGTTTGACCCCTGCCTGAGCTCCTGTGCCCATACCTGCACCAAGAGTCTTTGTGGGGCACAGGCACAAGTGCTGGGGTCTCCTGGCCCCAAAGGACTCACTGGTCTTTCCTCCCACAGCGCTGAATATCCTGACCTGCGGAAGCATAACAACTGCATGGCCCACAGCCTGACGCCAGCCATCTACGCCAGGCTCTGTGACAAGGCAACCCCGAATGGCTGGACCTTGGACCAGTGCATTCAGACTGGCGTCGATAACCCTGGCCACCCCTTCATCAAGACCGTGGGCATCGTAGCTGGTGATGARGAGACCTATGAGGTGAGTGGCAACCAAGAGCCTTGCCTGCAGCAGCCAGAGGATTCCCAGTACCATGGTACAACCAGCAGCCTGGGGCATCACTGCCCAGCTCCTCTTGCCCAGCCGAAGCAGCTGGAGAGGCCCCTGGAAAGTCCCCMGGTGCTCCTGCAGGGCATGGGGCTCCTTTGGAGGAGCTGTTTGTGGAGCCCTGCAGACCCCTGCTCCACTTGCAGATTGCTGTTACATTGCAGGACACACTGTCCCCCTCACTGGCAGCGCAGCCCTGCCGAGCTTGTGGCACAGGCTTCATGAAGCACTGGCTCTGTTGTACATTGTCCCACTTGCTTCCAGGTGTTTGCAGACTTGTTTGACCCYGTGATTCAGGATCGGCACAATGGGTACGACCCACGCACCATGAAGCACGTCACAGACCTGGATGCCACAAAGGTGTGAGAGCTGGACAGCCGTGTGTCCTTCCCTGGGCTTTGGGGATAGAGCCCTGCCAGCAGCAGGGCCACCCCAATAAACATCCTGTGGCTCCTGTCTGTTCCAGATAAAGTTTGGCCAGTTTGATGAGCGCTATGTGCTCTCCTCCCGGGTCCGGACTGGGCGCAGCATCCGTGGCCTGAGCCTGCCGCCAGCCTGCACCCGTGCTGAGCGACGGGAGGTGGAGAAAGTGGCTGTGGACGCACTGAATGGCCTCAGAGGGGACCTGGCGGGCCGCTACTACCGCCTCAGCGAGATGACGGAGCAGGAGCAACAGCAGCTCATTGATGTGAGTCAGAGCAGCTCCCCGCCAGCCCTCCTGCCCCTGGCTGCAGGCAGAGCAGGATCCCTTCTGCTCACTGCCTCTCTGGGAGGTTTTATCCTCCTTTTGCAGCTCTGCAGGCTTCTGCAGCCAGGACCCCTGTCCTAGCGAGGCAGCCCAACAGCACAGAGGGTGCTCAGAGTGCTGCTCAGCGCTCATGAGCCAGGAGCTCTTCCCAGGGGAAGGTGGCTTGTGGCACTCAGCCGGTGCCCACCAGACCATGGCACGGGCTGGGCCGTGCACCATCAACCTTCTGCTTCCCAGRCCAGTAAGGCAAGGGCTCCTGCTCATGGGTGCCCTGCCAGGAGGAGTTACGGTGAATCACCTGCATGGCAGGCGGGACCAGTGAGACAGGAGCTGGTCCAGTACTCGAATCAGTGGGGGTGCCCTGGCTCCAGCCATGCAGCCTGGGCGAGCCCACAAACTCTGCCTYCCTCCAGGACCACTTCCTCTTTGACAAGCCGGTGTCCCCGCTCCTGACAGCAGCAGGAATGGCTCGGGACTGGCCTGACGCCCGAGGAATCTGGTGAGGATCTGCAGTGGGCAGCAGGGCAACGGTGGGGATGGATGCTCGTGCTCCATCCACCCCAGCCCTGCCACCCACATTTCCCATGCTTACTGCACCACAGACATGAGCACCAGTGCCCCTGGGCTGTGCTCACCRTGGGTTCTTGGCCTCACCTGTGGCCGCACCACAGTCACAAGTCTACTGCTCCCCACACAAACCACAGCATGGCACTGGGAAGGGGGAYTGTGGAGCAGTTCCTGCCATCAGTCCTGCCTGCTCTCACCGTCCCACAGCACCTTGTACTCTGCCAAAAACCTGTAATTGYCTTCTGCTCCCTGGGCAGTCCCCAGCACTTTTCCTGGCTTCTGCACACGCTGTGTGACACCAAACCTACCATGCCACAGTGGTGTCTTATTGCTCCTTCCCAGCATCTTCACACAGCCATGCAACCTCCCACACTCTTGCTGAGCAACAGCCRGCACATGCGCCTGCCTGTGCCACCCTCACTGACACTGTGCCTTTATATGGAAAACAACTCCACAGCACATGTGGTCCCCAGCTCCAGCTGCATCTAACCCAGCCCTCCAATGCACACTCCATGCCTCACAGCCCCCTTCCACTGCTGCATGGTGCAAGAGCCATGCTCCTATCCCCAGTCCAGGCTGGGTCACCACCATGCTGGTGTCCGGCTGTGCCCAAGGCACTGGACACAGCTCCCATGACCAGCAGTGGTGCATGTGGATGGGCATTGACCCATCTCCAGGAGCGTGGCCTGACTGCTCGCCCTGGTCAGCAGTCATCACACTGGAAGGGCAGCACCGGCACCACGGTGGCAGAGGCAGAAGGGGCACAGTTGAGCAAGCGTGGGGTSTCTGCAAGCTGCCAGCACAGCCAAACACTGCCCTCTCCCTAGGCACAACCACCAGAAGACCTTCTTGATCTGGATCAATGAGGAGGACCACACACGCATCATCTCCATGGAGAAGGGGGGCAACATGAAGCGCGTCTTTGAGCGGTTCTGCCGGGGCCTGAAGGAGGTGAGTGACCAACAGCTTCTGCTGTGCCGGCCCCATGGACAGGCAGGGCTCCTGTGGTGTCGGCTCTCTGCATGCAGCCAGGACTGGTGCCCCATGGCCARGGCTGAATGACTGCTTGTGCCTTTAACTCAGGTGGAGCGGCTAATCCAGGAGCGAGGCTGGGAGTTCATGTGGAATGAGCGGCTGGGTTACATCCTGACCTGCCCCTCKAACCTTGGCACGGGACTGCGAGCAGGTGTCCACATCAAGCTGCCACTGCTCAGCAAGGTATTACCATGGCCAGTTAGGTGGGGGGAGCCGGGCTTGGCCTGTGGGAAGCTCGGCCATGGAGGTGCAGGGCTGCATGTGACCCAGCCCTAGACCATGTTCAGGTTCCCCCGGGAGGCACAGGGTCCAGCTTCTGCCTGCATTCCTGGCTGGAGAGGCCCAGCTCCCAGGTGTCAGCCTGAGGCTGCTCAGGGCAGGACTGGGTGGGGCTGGTGACCACTGACAGGATCCTGTGAGGAGTAGGGGCAGCCCCAGGGGGCATGCAGCTGCACAGGCCTGTTGTTGGTCCTGCTGAGCACCAATACTTTCCCTGGGCACCAGGACAACCGCTTCCCTAAGATCCTAGAGAACCTCCGGCTACAGAAGCGTGGAACAGGTGGTGTGGACACTGCGGCCACGGGCAGCATCTTTGACATCTCCAATCTGGACCGGCTGGGGAAGTCAGAGGTGGGTGCCAGAGCTAGGGAGGGTGGTTCTGAAGTATGTCTGCATGATGAGCCCACGGTGGCCATGTGCTGGGGCCAGCATGTAGGTGCTGGGGTGGCAGTGCCTGCCCTGCGTGCAGCAGCACTGGTCAAGTGCCTTGCTGGTGTGGCTGCCAGGACAATCTTTCAATCACCACGTCTGTGCTCCTGATGCAGGTGGAGTTGGTGCAGCTGGTGATMGATGGTGTAAACTACCTGATCGACTGTGAGCGGCGGCTGGAGAAGGGGCAGGACATCCGCATCCCCTCGCCGCTGCCGCAGTTCCGGCACTGAGTGGGACTGTGGCAGCGCCAGCCCTGTGGGACCCAGGGGCCCCTGTAGCTTGTTCGATCTCTGTGCCCAGCATGTCGCTGCATCCTGTAACCCACAATGCCCCAGGTCAAACCCCATAAACACGTGCTGCTGTAGCCACGGCTCAAGCTTCTTACCTCAGTACTCAGCATCCCGCTGACCTCCCAGCACCCTGTCCCCCAGCAGAGCACCACTCGGATTTCCCCATCACAAGGCTTCACAACCTGGTGTACATGAGCTGTGCAGCCCTGCCCAGCCTTTCTCCGACACTGGCAGCCCCCGGCACCGCTGTCCCRCAGACTGCCGGGACGGACTTGTGACACACCTGATGCTTCCCCGGCACGGGGCTGGGGCTGCTCATCTCGCTCCTGCCACCGGCACTGGACACGCCAAGCGCGACCGAGCTGCCCACGGCTGGMCTCAGCCCTGGGGCTTTAACCCGAGCCCGGCGCCGGCCCCACTGCCCAAACGGTGCCGCGCTGGTGCGGGTTGATTACGGGAAGCCGGCAGGGGCGGAGGGAGCCGGGCACCGGGGCAGGATGGAGCCGGGCAACGGGGCAGGATGGAGCCGGGCACCGGGGCGGGATGGAGCCGGGCACCGGGGCGGGATGGAGCCGGGCACCGGGGCGGGATGGAGCCGGGCACCGGGGCAGGATGGAGCCGGG